TTATTTTTTTTTTTTTTTTTTTTTTTGGTACCAGGATCAAACTTGGTACCTTGTGCTTATAAGGCAGGCAGAGGACCCACTGAGTTAAATCCCCAGCCCCTTAGTAAATATAATTTAACGAACAGACTACCTGTCAACATCATTCTTTTAAAAATATATTAAAATTCAGCTCACAAGGTCTCTTAAACTTATTAAGACTTTCAGCATACTTAACCTGTAAAAAGGCAAAGTTCAAAATTGAACATACCATAAGTAAGTTTTCTGCTACAGTAGTCTATTAAATGTTGTTATTCCTTTTGCATGTTGGTCTCAGTGGTTTTACTCTCCATTACTATCCCAGGGCCCTGTTATAATGTGGTTAACAAGGATAATACAAGTTTCAAAGAGTTACAGTGAAGCCAGGCATGGTGGCACATCCTGTCATCCCAGCAAGCAGGAGCCTGAGGCAGGAGGACCACTGCAAGTTCGAGGCCAGCCTGGGCTACATAGTAAGTTCAAAGCCAGGGTCAACTATATAGTGAGGCCCTGTTTAAAATGTAAATAAAATGTTACAGTGAAAGATATACCACTATAATTGGTGCTATAAATTGAATTCATGGGTTGATGATTTTATAGAGTTTGTTTTAGTGATGACTACTTAGATTTAACAACCCTAAATCAGCTCTCAGAATATTGATAACAATGAGTTAATCTTCTGGTAGGAATTTTGCAGAATGTTCTGTGATAAATTTTACCACCCCAAAGACCATTTAAAATATCCAGAGATGCTGGGCGTGGTGGGTCATGCCTGTAATCCCAGCACTCGGGAGGCTGAGGCAGGAGGATCGCTGTGAGTTCGAGACCAGCCTGGGCTACACAGTTCCAGGGTATTCTCAACGACATAGTGAGACCCTGTCTCAAAAACCAAAAAAATAAATAAATAAAATATCAAGAGATGTGGCCTGATGTTCCTAACTTTAAATGGCTTTTCCAGAAAGCTTGTTAGAGAAACTCACCATTTCTAAGCCTCACTCAAGTCTCCTATCGACTGTTTCCTAAATATTGGGAGACAACCAGCTCTTACTGGATACCTAACAGAACTCTCAAGAGACAAGGCTGGGGGTGTTGCTTGGTGACAGCATTTGCATGGCCTGTAGAAGTCCCTGGGTTCAACTGCCAGCTCAAGAAAAGGGAGGGAGGAAGGAAGGAGCAGCCCTGGATTCCAGCCCCCGCAGTACGGGGAAGGGACCAGGGAAGGAAGAGACAGCCAGAGCAGTGGAAAAGGCTACACACAGCAAGCTTCGAAAGTGTCACCATTGACAGTCAGACTTTAAATGGAAAAGGGTTAAAAGCTGGCAACAGAAATAAAGCTAAAGGGTTGAAAGTTGAAGAAATTTGCCACAAAGTAGAGTAAAAAGACATAGATGGAAACTAAGAAAAGATAAATTTGAGGGACATGATTAGATCCACTGTCCAAATAGTGGGATCTCCAGGCAGAATGAACAGATGATTTTAATCAAACAGGTCAAAGGTCTGCAGATTGAAAGGGCAAATGCCCAACATGGAAAAAGACCCAGGAGCACGGGCTACCGCCCCCATCCAGCCCATGCCAGTCACTGGAATAGAGTAGTCCTCTCACTAGGGTGGTAGCATCGTCCCATTGCTCCCGGACATGCTCGCTGGTCCGAGAACGAAGAGGACAGCCATGGAGAAGGACAGTGGGTTAACTGCCCCACCCAGCTGAGCCTAGCTGGCCAGTTTACACACGTGTGCATGAGCGAGGGAGAAATGCAGTCACCTGTCCACAGTACTACTGTGGCGGCAGATCTTCCACACCAACATGTAAGTCAAGTGTCAGACATCCTTCGAGGTCCAAAGAGGAAAAAAATTGAGGGGGGCATGTTTTGAGGCAGGGTCTCACTATGTAATTGAGACTGACCTGGAACTCACTATGTAGCCCAGGCTGGTCTCAAACTCAGCGATCCTCCTGCCTCAGCCTCCAGGGTGCTGGGATTACAGGCATATGCCACTACGCCCGGCCAAAAAACTTTTTAAAGTATCTGACATGTCTTCAAATTTCTTAACAGTTGCAACTGGAAATAAAAAGGAAATACCACCAATAAAAAACAAAAATAAATAAATAAAATTAATGTTCTCAGGCACTCAGGAGGCTGAGGCCTGCCTGAGCTACACAAAGGTTCAAGGAGAATCTTGTCTCAGAGGTGGGGGAGAAAATAGCACTATCATCTTCAAACTTCTGAAAGGAAAAGTAAAGACATTTGAACATGAACAAAGTCCCAAAATTTTACATCTTCATGCCCTTTTTCATAGATCAGTCATGGTAAATGTTTTAGAGATGAGTAGCCAGACTAACCCAACCCCACTTATCATGAGTACCAACACCTTTTGCCTTCAAAGAAAAGCAAATCATACACCAGCCCTGGGTTTGCCCGCTGTCACAGACTGGAAATCAGGCACCGTGGGAACAGGGCAAACCAGAGATCCCCAAGGGTGATGGTCAAGTGCGAGCCGAGATGAGTGCACACCAGGCGCAGGATGGCAAGGCCAGCGCAGCTCAGGGCCTCCAGAAGGCTTCGTACAGATGAAGTTCGTAGACTGTCTAAGGGTTTTAACAGGGTTTGTGTTTGTTTTGCTTTATATTGTAGACAGGCTTTTGCTATGCAGTTCCGGCTGGCCTTGAACTCACTGTAGCCCAGACTGGCCTCAAACTCAGTAATCCTGCCTGAGGGCTGGGATTGCAGGACTGAACCACCACGCCTGCCCAGCAAGCTTGCTGGGGTTTTTTTGTTTGGTTTGGTTTTGGTTTTGGTTTTTTGAGACAGGGTCTCACTATGTAGTTGAGTCTGACCTGGAACTCACTATGTAGCCCAGGCTGGTCTCGAACTCACAGTGATCCTCCTACCTCAGCCTCCCGAGTGCTAGGATTACACGCCTAGCTTTTGCTGGGTTTTTAAATAAATGTTAGAATTAAGGATTGAATTCTTGATAAGATATAAAGAAAACTAAGCAAATGAAAAGTAAGACAACTAACCCCAGCAGTAATAAAAACATGTTCAGGAAAGAAAAAAAGGAGTATCGTTTAATACCTTACTCAGCCCTCATACTGCGAAATGTGAACACCGACCTCACCCTAACTTCACGGTGTGTTGGGAGATGGTTCTCCACAGCGCTGTTTTCTGCGTGTCATGAGAGTGAGGCGCTCGCCGAGTGACCTTCGCTGTGGGCTGCCCAGCGATTGTAGAGCACACAGCGTTGGAAGACAGATGCCCCTTGGAGTAAGGGCAGCACACCCACCTGGCACAGTAACGCGGAACAGCACGCGGCGTGTCCAGCTGCCCCCCAGGCATTGTGTGTCACCCCCTGGGACTGCTCAGACTGCTCTTCACTGCTGACCTCAGTCTTACCTTCTAACACCAACAAAACTGGCTGCTAACTTGTTCTCCACAAACTACTTGAAAGGTACAGAGATGAAAAAGGATATGCGCAGTGAATGTCACAAGAGCGAAAATAACAGCATCGTTTAGTTTTGGAGGGGAAATAAACAGGTAATTCCTAAAACAGGAAAACATCAGGACATAAAAATTCAAGCATATCTAAAACCTTAGAGGTAAGTATGGTACCAAAGAACCCCAAGTCACAGAAGTAGCTGCCTCTAGGGAAGAAAAACAATGCATAATCTTTCCACAAAAGGGGTATTATCCAACAGTTAAATAGAAGGGACAGGCTTTTGTTTTAAAAAACAAATCATGCTTTTTCACAAAAAATCTGTGCTTTTCGGGTATGTTTTCAGAGCACTTCCAGATCTCACGATAAGGAGGTGCATGTCTTGTCCTACTTCTGTAAACAATGACAGTGAAATAAGCAACACTTATCACCATGACGGAGTTGCCAGCTAGGAAACAGCATCTTACACACATAACCCTGTGAGGTGTCACCTCCGTTTTATAGATGAGAACACTGAAACATGTTAAACTGCTTCCCCATTCTGCCCAGCTCAGACGTGCCACAGCCAGAGTTCGCACCTGGACTGGCTCCACAGCTTGCACACATGTGCAAGGATGAAGAACTCCCTGTGCCAGTCAGGGCTGGTGGCAGCTGCTGGAAACCTAACCAGCTGCTTTCAGAAAGGAAACTTAGACCCCACTTAAACGAGAGTTAAACAGATCCAGGGACGGACCTTCCTCAGTACCTCTGACTCTAAGTTGTCTACTACATTTCTAGGTACTAACCTTATTAAAGCTACTCGAAAGAAAAAGAGAACAAGCTACTCAAGATAGCAAGAAAGAGGGCCCCCAGAACCTCTAGGACAGTATAACCTTAGCAGGCTACTAAAGGAACTGCTTGTCCAGGCACGGTAGGCCTGTGATCCCAGCACTCAGCGGGCTGAGGCAGGAGGACTGCTGTGAGTTCGAGGCCAGCCTGGGCAACATTGTGAGGTTAAGATCAGGCTGAAGTACACAGCCAGACTGCCTCAAAAAAAAGAAAAAATCCAAAAACAATGAAATCCTACAATACTTCTATCCACTGAGAACGCCCAACTGCTGACAAGAAGCAAGGGGATCTCCTGTTCATTGCCAGTGGGAATGCAAAATGGTACAGGTGCTTTGGAAGACAATTTGGCAGTTTCTTAGAAAACTAAACAATCTTGGTATGTAAGTCAACAATTGTATTCCTTAGTATTTACCCAGATGAGCTGGAAACATGCCCACACATGAATGGGCACACAGATACTTACCACAGCTTCATTAATACCAGAACTGGGAGGCAATCAAGATGACTTCAAGAGGTGAATGGATTCACTGACACATCCTTACAATAACAATTTACTTAGAACTAAGAAGAAATGGAAGCCAGGTGTGCCCAGCACTCAGGAGGCTGAAGCCGGAGGACTGACGTGCGTTCGAGGTCAGCCTGAACTACCTAGTGAGACCCTGATCCAACCCCCCGCCAAAAAAGCAAAGTGGGCTATTAAGACAAAACATACGAAAGAAGCTTACATGCGTATTACTGAGTGAAAGCTGCCGGTGTGAAAAGGCTCCATAGTGTGTGATTCCGAATTCTGTACATGACACTCTAGAATCAGTGAGACAGTAAAAAATTCATGGCTGGCAAGTGCTTAGCAGAGGATAAACAGGTTTTTCATAAGAGATGTTTAAGGCAGTGAAACTGCTCTGAAATAGTAAATGGTAGATGTGTCATTTTAAATTTGTCAAAACCTATTGAATGGAATTGTCCACGTGGGCTCCTCGGCGGCTGACAGTTGGAGAGCTTGTGTAAGCTGGAGGTGGGGGACGATGAGAACTCAATTTAGCAGTGAACCTAGACCAGCCCTAAAATACACCGAGTAATACACTACAAAGAGATGGTGCGAGGCACAGAGTTTGCCATCTCCTGACTCCGGAAGATAAACCAGAGAATGCCTGACGGCCTGACAGTCCTGGGCCCATCCAGGGGTCAGCACTGTGGTCAGGAGAACGGGACAGAGTGGCCACGTGTGGGTGCCTTGCTCACAACCATGGCCTGAGTGGGGAGGAACGGACATAGCTGAGAATGCAGCCACCTACGGAGGAGGCGCTCTCCAAAGGAAAGGGGAAGGAACGGAGCCAAGGGTGCTGAAAGGTGTGAGGCAGAAACAAAAAGTAACGGTGACTACTCTGACCCGATTTGACGTACAGAAATAGCTATTTTACACACTAGATTCAAAGAAGTGGGAAGTTCTTTTTAATTTTATTAGTATTGTGTGTGTGTGTGTGTGTGTGTGTGTGTGTGTGTGTGTGTGTGTTGCTGGCAGCCAAACCCAGAGCCACACATGTAGCCAAGTGGTTGGCCATTGAACACTCCTAGCCTGTTTTGTAAATAAGCAAAGAACGTTTACCCTTTACCAGCTTATAAAATGTGGTACGCTATTAGAGAGCTTAACAGAAAGTCAGGAAAAAGCAAATAAAGAAAATTTTAGAAGGCTCCAGAGCACTAAAGGCCAAAAGACATGGCTTTTCCTACCAGAGATGGAGAAAATATTACAAAACTGTACATAGCTGGGCATGGTGCGAATACCTATAATCCCAGCTCTCAGGAAGCTGAGGCAGGAGAATCACTGCCAGTTCAAGGCCAGCCTGGGCTACACAGCGAGTTCAAAGCTACCCTGGAATGTACAGCAAGATCTTGTCTCAAAAAACAAACAAAAAATATATATATTGAAAGGGTTTTATTCTTTATGGATGGATGGTACTGGGAATTGAACCCAGGGCCTTTGCCCTGAGCTATATGCCTGACCTTTTTTATGTTTTTATTTTGAGGCAGGGTCTCACTCGGTCACTAAACTGCCCAGGCTGGGCTTGCACTTGTGGTCCTCCTGCATCAGCTTCCCAGAGTTGTGGGACTGTGTGCAACCACATCCAGCCTTTCAGATATTTTTACAGACAAAGACGAGACCACTTCTAGCCAATGAGACGTGAGAGTCTCCTAAGTAAGACTCAAGAAAGCTGAAGGCTCCTGACCTGATCAGACAGAAAAGCACCACCGGGAATTGCCTTCTGCCATCCACTCTCCACCTTCCCATGCCACAGGCGTGAGCACACAGCTGTACACTCAGTGTGCTAAACCAAAAGGCAAGAGGGCTGAACGCTTAGGGACTTCGGGCACATGAAAAATTCTAGACCTTGTATTGTATGGCGGAGGCTCTGTGCTTGGATTTCTGTGACATGAAGAACACTGATGTCTCGCGAGACAGGCAGCTGATGTCACTTTGACCAGTATGTGTAGAATCTGTAAGCTACACATATATTAAAAACAGAATACTCACCGAGCTCCCCTAAGACCTACAGTATGTATCCAAGATAAATGTTCATGGGGTCACAGAGCAGCTGTGGGAACCTGTAAGAATTAAAACTAAGATTTTGGCTGAATAACTCATATTCTCAACCAGATAACTGTTTCTGGTTTTTATCAAATTATATGTAACAACATGGCTTCACTGAGTGAGGATCAGTTTATATGAATTTGTCCTTGTACATTATCGAAAAACTTAAGGGACAAGTAATAAAGCTCGTACCATTTCTCAGTAACCTTTTATTGTTAACTTAGTTTTACAATAAAGAAACAAAAGAATTTGATTAAAAAAATACCATAGCTGTCAATTCAAAATGAGGTTCTTGTTAAAGCAGAACACTATACCCTATAATTACATCTTCAATTGTATTTACAAGAATTATGTGCAAAGTGCTATAAAATAAGACTTTGGAATAAGATAAAAACGGTTGTTCCTAGGAATTGGCTACCTTTACTGCTTGTAATTAATTACAACTCTTTACATCCTTAATTAGCATCTTATATATAGTAACGAACCACCATTCTGATACCCAATTGATTATCTAATTTTTGAAAACAATCCCTATGCACAGGTCTAAATTTCATTCCTACATATAATTTAGTTACTTGCTTAATTTCTTTTCCTAAATAGGTAGAGAGGACAGGTTTTTATTAAAACAAAGTATTACTAGACCTTCAGACACACATTTTTAATCGAGATGACAAAAAATAAAAAGTTTCATGAAAGAAAATAAAAAGTTTAGGAAAAACAAATTTTACTCTCACATTTTTTTTCTCAGTCAAAGTACCACCCTTTATACTAGACATGGATTAGTTCTGGCCCTCTTATTAAACAGACTCCAAACAAATGAAGCTAAACCCAATGTCATAACACCCAGAATGCTTAAAAGTTGTGTGCTACAAAGCTTTTGAATAAAAGAAATCTTTAAAGCACAAGGCATAGCTAAGGGAACAAGGAGCTCTGGGAGGTGCACAGGAAGAGTGACTAAGTGTGGTCTTCAAGGGTCTAAGTAACAGTCCTTTTGGTCGAGGTGAGAGGTGGAATCCAGGGGCTTCAACTGCCATCAGCTGGACATGCGTTATTCATATGGAAGCTCGTGGCCCGTTAGCTGACAAGTCCTTCTAATAGCCCTGTAAGTGGTACGGCCACGTGTTACACCCCAGAGGAAAGTGAGGCACTGAGAGGTTAAGAGTCCAGTCTGTACTTCACCAGTTGCAGAAAAGTGATTTTCATGTTTCCTTTTTTTAACCCTTGTAAAAACAGTATAAATAAGTTATCATTTATATTTCAAAGCACCCTATGAAGCAGACACTACATATCCTCAGTTAAAGCAAAATGATTACGAAGGAATATCTGTAGGACTGAATTAAAATTTTACTAGTCACCTACAGCCTCAGAATACACTGTGAAACCTACGTCAAGCCTATATTTCATCGCTGCCGTCAGCAGGTTGTCTATTCTGTGAATCCGTGCAGATGGTTGTAATTTGGGGTAGCGGGTACTGGGGATCGAACTCCTCGGGTCCTTGAGCTTGCAAGGCAGGCGGCGGAACCACTGAGCTACATCCCCGGCTGGGCTGTCACTGTTAATAACGAGCCTGACTGACGTGGATGCCTGAGAAAGATCATACGCAGCCACCCTGAATGCAGCGAAGACTTCCACAGCTTCCTACTGCTTGAGCTGCCATTCAGTGACTGGCACCAAGCGACACAACCTCATCTGAAGTTCACTCTTGGTTTACATTCTTTCACATACTTAACTTACGCTAAAACATCCACGGCCAAATCTGGTCTCATTATCACAACTGTACCTTCGAAGAGCAGTTTACAATTCTCTACGTGAGATAATCAGGTAAACATGTTACCAAACGATAATTAATGTCCTTCAAGTTCAAGGGTAAGGAAAATCTACATATCCTACTCAAAATCTAGTGGAGGTTGATTATTCAAGTATCAGCAATATTAGTCCTTAAAATGTTATCATTTGTGTAGTGCAGAAAATGTTTGTATATATGTACACAAACCAAACTACTGACAACAGAAAAGAAATGTAATTAAGATTTTCTCGTGAACGCCACAATCCATCTCACTCTGAGGTCATCCAGGCCCAGCAGTCTTCTCAAATAAAACATCACTTGCTTCAGTTCAGTTTTCTTTAAAAAAAAAAAGTAAAACTCAATTTTGTGTGAGTATAAATGCAACCTGAACATGAAAGACATCCATACCAGAGAATTCTCTGGATGATAACATGTCATGTAAATTTGTCCCCATGAAATTACTTTAGCTGTCCGACAGGAAAGACCTATGTGCAGGTGCTGAAATTATCAAACAGTATTTATTTATTTTGGTGTCAGGGACTAAACCCAGAATCTTATAGCCAGCCCTACCAGTAAGGGTACACTTCCAGGCCTCAAGCAGTAGGGTTTTTTTTATTACTTTGTTTTTTTGGTCATTTTTTAATACCAGGGATTGAACCCATGGCCTCAATACTGAGCTATATCCTCGACCCCCTTTTTTTTTCTTTTTTTCTTTTTTTTTTTTGAGACAGGGTCTCACAATGTAGTTGAGTCTGCCTGAAACTCACTGTGTGGCCCAGGCTGGTCTCACAGGGATCCTCCTGCCTCAGCCTCCCTGAGTGCTGGGATTACAAGCGTGCGCCACCACGCCCGGCTCCTCAACCCTTTTTTATTCTTTACTTTGAGACAGAATCTTACTAAGTTCCTGGAAGAGGCTCAAACTTGTGACCCTCCTGTCCCGAGCTTCCCAGCGTACTGGGATCACAGATGTGTACCATCACACCTATTTTCAGTTTTTAATACATTAAATTTACATTCCTCCTCTCTTCTAGATTGTCATCCTTTTCTTACTGGCTACTATACAATTAAGATTTGGAGGAATTAATGTACAATTTTATCAAAATGAGAAAACTGTGTAATAAAAAAGCTTAATAATCCAGATTATTCATTTAATCAACATATATCAGGTAGCTGCTATTTTCTAGACACTGAACCAGGCACAAGGGATACAAAGTTAAATGAGCCAGGCTCTTACCCCTCAAAAGAGGTCAGTTTAATGACAGGGAAGTGGAACTGTATAACCGAAAAGTTGGGTATATACAACACAATGGTTTCGACGTCAGCAGACTGAGCCACCAGAAGAGGGTGAGCATGTTAGCATGAAACACAGCAATCACATAGGATCTGACTTCTGTGAAAGGTTCCACTGCTGTAAAATCTCCAAACCCTCCCCAGCACACCAGATGCTAGAAGGCCTGAAACTCTTCCAGATTCACTCTTCTGTGCAAAATATTCTTATGCAATCCCCTTGGCAGGAGTGATATTTGAAGTAAACTGATTATTTTCTGTGCACTGCAGAACCCTCTTAGCTACACCTGCATGGCCTGAGTGACGTTTTAAATACTCAGATCAATGTTCACCTAACAGGACACTCCTACAGCAGGAGGAACACCAGCCCCTGGAAGAACGGATGTGGCTAACAGACCGCAGCAGATGGGAGTGCTTCTACAAAGTGCCTGAGTGAGTTCTCGCAAAAATTATAGCTGCAGAACACGGAGCAGTTTGCAAAGTTTATCAAAACCCACGTGATGTAGCTCAGTATACAAGGTTCTTTGCAAATTTTATTACAATCTTTTATTGGAATTAAATATAAATCATTATCTTCAGAACTAGCATGTTTTCTTCAGGCTTTAAATGAGATCTTTCTCTTGCTGTTTGTGTGTGTGTTTAGTTAACTTACAAAATGGAGAGTACAGTGTAATCTGGGAAAGTGACAGAAAAGGGAACAGGAAATCATCCTACCATTCCTGTCAGCCAGAACTCTATGCTGGCTGTATGCTGAAATTCCTTCCCTTCCTCAGGATCCTTGGCTGATTTTGTCTGCCTTCAAGGCAAAAGAACATTCTTCCACTCCCAACCAGTTTTTGTTGTTGTTGTTGTTGTTGTATTTTGGTACTGGGGAACGAACTCAGGACCTTGCACTTGTGAAGCAGGTGGTGGCATGACTGAGCTACATCCCTGGCCCAACCAGTTTTATTTATTATCCCTGGATTGAAGACAGTGTCCCCAATAAAGTTACATCACAGTAAATTTATGAATCTGGGCAGGCTCAGAAAGAAAAGGGTTTAGAAACATGGTTTCCTTCAAACAAGGCACGTGGCACACACCTGTAATCCCAGCATTCTGGGAGGCTAAGGCAGGAAGATCACAAGTTCTAGCCCAGCCTGAACAACTTTGGAACTTAGCCAGACCTTGTCTCAAAAAACAAAATAAAAATTACACACTAATTTAAATAGGTGCTGGGGGTGTAGTTGAGGGCCAAGGCCTGGGTTCAATGCTCAGCACCGAGAGGGAGAAAGGGACAGAGGGCAGGAGAGACAGTGAGCTGCATCTTGGATTTAACACAGCTGCTTTCAGTATTTACCTCACTGTTTCATTATGATTTTTGTTTGTGGTGCTGAGGATCACGCCCAGCATGCTGGCCGAGTACTGCCACTGAGGTGTATCCCCGGAGCCTATCTTGGAACAGGAAGTCTGCGGAGGACACTGTCTCACATACAGAAAGGATTTCCAATCCTACTGGCAGGGCAGGACAGGTAAAAAATCTTTAAATTCACTCTTCTATGCTAGTAAAACAAATTAGCAAATCCCAATCAGATTTCCTCTTCATTCCTTTCCACTGATTTCCTTTCTCTTAATCCTAAACTGCTCTATAGAGTTCATTTCCTTAACTTTCCTATTAAAGATTGCTGCCAGATTAAAATGCACCCTCAAGACTAAAACTTAGTCCCTTACTGAATATGGCTCTACCTCCAAGTCCAGTTAATCTACTACATCCATAATCAAACTATAAAACACTATTCCTCATTAAAACAGCTGCACAGTATTACATAAATTGCCATTTATAGCAAGCAAACCCTTAACATGCAGTGAAAGCTTAACAGACTTAAAAACAAAGTAGGAAATTTAAAAGGTCATCCATTCAGAGACAGGTAGAACTTCAAGGGACACTTAGAAATGGTCATCAACTTTGTACTCGCAAGGAACATTAAACATACTTTTAGAAACATGCTCGTTTCCTGTGGCCTAAAGGGCAGAGACCCATTCACTCATCATCCCGCCGAGACAGGGCCTTGCTGGACACTCCACCCTGCCCTGCAACCCGCTGGCTCGCACTCAGCCCCGCCTCAATGCTCAGTCACAGGCACACACCGCCCCCCAGCTGGTCCGTGCTTCCACCCTCAGCATAAAGTAAGTCGTTAACCTAATGTAGGGATTTCTGATGTACATCGAATTTCTCCACCCTCTAACTCCTAGCTTTCCACAAAGGAAAACAAGAGTTTTGAGGGCTTGTGGTAAAGTTCCTGCCTAGTACATGTGGGGGCCTAGTTTCAATCCCTAGCACCAAAAAGAAAATAAGTTTTGAAACATCCCGCAAAAATCTGTAAGCTCCACTTCTAGTGTACCTGTGCTGCTACTGAAGTCCAGCATTGATACATATTAAGCAATGGTTTGCTGCTTTTTTCTATTACTAGGGAAATTAGAATTTTAAAATGGTGAATAGCACTACACCCATTACAGGAAAAATTTTAAATATATGGAAAAAAATGGAAAAGATTTATATTATGGTCTATGTCTTAACTAAGATGATACATATACAAATCAATTAAAACAGGATTAATAGGGCCGGGGATTTAGCTCAGTGGTTCCACTACCAGCCTCACAAGCACAAGGTCCCAAATTCAATCCCGGGTACCAAAACAAAAACAAAAACAGGATTAATATTACTAGGAAAGTAACTTATGCTTCTGAATTTCTACTAATTTTTTTCAACTTAGCAGAAGTAGCCCGAGAAAATGTAATTAGGTAATTTCACTGTTTTTTTGTTTGTTTGTTTTCAGAACTCAGGACCTTGCACTTACCAGGCAGGTGCGGTGCCACTGAGCTATATCCGCAGCAATATAAACTTTTAACATAAACAGTAAACATTCATAATGATTCACCTAGATCATGTGTGCTTCTCTAACTACTGTAAAATGTAATGCAGCATTTACAATGCTGCTTATCCCTTTTATGTGAAAGAAAAACAGAAAGCTTTTCCTCAAATTTTTCTTTGGTAAAGGTAAAATGTACCTATAAAGTATCTAAACGGTAGATTTTTAAATGTGTTTACTGCACATCATTATCAAGTGCCCTGCTGCTTTTCCCAAGCTGCTGTTACTTAATGGGAACTGGTGGTGAAACACTGAACATCATCAATGAGGCCACCACGGGAAGAATGGCTGTCCATCTGCGTATGCGTGGAAGGTAATTCAGTTTCAGACGCGTCTAAAAAAGAACTTTTCTTTAGGTTTGAAGATTTTCTTGAACACAAAGGCTTTGGCCTCATGTTATCAATGAAAAACTCAGGACACTTTCAGAGATTCCGGTCAATTATTCTCATACCTTAAAAACTGGAACCCTGGCTCTCAAATTAGAGTAATCCCTAATCTAGAGAGTCAACACAGGCTGAAATTTTTCTGAAATGTCAGTGTGCACATTTAAAGGAATTAAAGAGAGAGCATTCATTATGTGCTTATGTCTCCACTGTCCTTTATATCAGCAAAGAGCCCAAATTACCTTTCAGAGTATGAGATTTTTAATGTCAATAAATTTAAGAAACATACAGTCATATTCTTCTATAAATCAAAGATGTACAACTGCTTAGATATAACTTTCAAGGTTGTTTTAGTCTCAGGATCAGTATGACAACATATCTAGAAAATGGACCTATGCCCTTACTTGCTGTTGAAAGTTTTGCTTGCCATGGGTTAATAGAGTATATAAACCATTTCAAATTTTAAAGCTATAGTATTACCTTCTCCTTCTTTGATAATATAAATGCACCAACCACTGGGCAATAAAAGGCCATACAATAGCAAAAGTTAATGCACCAGGAGACATCTCAAAGGGCCACCAAGACGGTCTCTGAGAAAATAAGATAAATTTATCACAATTATTAAATATTGCATTATGAACTTAAAAATTAATAATTTTAAAATATGAAAGCAGTGGGCCAGGTATTTAGCTCACTGGTGCTGCTGCCTGCCTCAAGCACCAGGTCCCAAGTTCGATCCCAGTACCCCAAAAAAAACCAGTAACAGATCTGTTAAAGAAAATATGCTACACATCAGAGCATAATTCAAGAAGCAGATTTGCAGAAGTACTTTAAACTTAAACATAAAGCAAGTACTTGATAAAATGTAGAACACCTTTGAAATGCTCTAAGGGTCTAATAATCTAAATGTATTTTAACTTATTTTAAAACCTAGCACTTAAGATTGAGAAAACTTTCTTACCTGCGAGGACTGATTACTAGACTGCAATGTTGATAATTCTGCCTGTAAATACAAATGAAAGTAATTTAGCCTTAACAACATGAACATATATAGTGATTTTTCTATTTTCTATCTGTAAAAAAGGTGAAACTCTTAGCTTATTCTCTATTTTCCTGCTAGCTGTGTCTTGATTTTGTTCAAAGGACAAGGTCTCTGAAACTGTGAGCTAAATAATTACCTTAGGTACTTTACATTTTAAAGTTCAAATTATACAAAAATATCAATATTAAATCTCAAATCCGTTTAAGCTCTGGCTGCTTGTATGGTCTTATTATATTACCTACTTAATTCTACTTAACTCCTTCAGTTTCCATATAAACCGTCAATGTACAAACACATTTGAAAACTGCAGCCTTGATATTTAATTAAAGACTAAACAATGTCCAGAGATCGGTTTTGGCAATTCATGACAAGTCACTGCAGATCATTAACGCAGTGCATGGTGTGCACGCCTGTAACACCAGCACTCAGTGGGCGGGGGCACAAAAACTGCTGAGTTCAAGCTCAGCCTGGACTACACAGTGAGACTTTGTCTCAAAAAATAGAAAAGAAAAGTTGTATAAATTAAGCAGAAAAAATTAGGACATTCAGATTCCAGTTTGGCTGATTCCAAAGATGAAATTCCTTAAGAGATGGGACATGTTAGAGAAAGGAAGGGGTGCCAGGGATTTAACCCAGTGTTTCCAGCGCCTGCATTGCAAGTACAAGGTCCTGAGTTCGATCCCCGGCACCAAAAAAAAGAAAGAAAAGGAAGGCTGGCAAGCAATTCGCAATTGAGTGGCCGAGGAAGGCTCAGAAGTGTGAGTTGGGAAACAGCTTTCCGTACAGAAGTAAAATCAAGCTCAAAGGCCCAGCCTGGGACGGAGCCTACTGGCGCTTTCTGCACGGCCAGAAGGTGAGCTGGTGACAGTGAGAACAGCAGGGAATCTGGGGAGGCAGCTTTCATATTTCGTCTTTATGGGTAATATGCTTTCTAGAAGCTCCAGCAACTAAAGCTTACAGCAGACACTAAATTACATGCCTCTGTGTGTCGCATTAGTCCTTACAGACCACTGAGGTGTTAAAACAGAAACTTACAAGAAAGTTCTTCTATACTCAAGCTGAATGCTTCAAGTGCTAAAAGAATGTAGGCAATGATCCCTAAGTGGTTAGTTGTAATCCTGCTTTGTGGGCACGATAGCACTTCTCTAGAACAAACGCAGTGCAGGGCAGACTTACAAACTGGGATGTTCTGGTGTCTGAGGACCATCCGATGTCACACCAGTCGGTGTGGTTTGGAATGGAACTCAAGGTGGTCACACCCCAATGTGACAAATGTAACTACCTATTCTGCATGAAAGCAATGCCTAAGGAATGCTAGGGATGAGTGAGAACTACTGGACAGAACTATACTTGATCTGGAATCGTAAGGGAAGATTCCTAAGAAGCAAGCACCTCTGCCCGCACAGTTTTTAAAGTTTATTTTTCAAATATTTAAAATGCTTGTACAATACTGGGGACTGAACCCAGACTGTTCTCGATGAGCTACTTGCATCTGCAGCTTGGTGTTTGGGGCTGGGCAGGCCTATTTGGTTTGGTTTTCTTAGCAGCAAACATTTCCTGGTACATTTTAGGTGTGCACAGTATCCCTCACTGTACAGAACTTGCTCCCACACATGATACAGACCCCTCTTTTTCCATTCTCCCCTGCCCTAAGCCCCCTCCCCTGTGCACAAAAGCTTTCTTCCATTTTTTCCTTCTATTTTCATTTTTCTTGTCCCTTCCTTCCTTTTTCCCCGCCTCCTCCCTGGTTCCCTTTCCCATTTGAACATTTTCTTCCCATTTCCCAACATCTGTTATACATTTCAGTCTTTATTTCCACTCACACCAGAGAAACAATGTGATATTTAAACGTGTGCAATTTATTTCACTTTAGACTATAGTCTCAAGGTCCATCCATTTAGCTATAAATGTCTGAAGCTCATCCCTCTTTATGGCAGAGTAGTATTTCTTTTAAAAATCACATTTTTACCCATTAGTCAGTTGAGGGGCATTTGGGCTGCTTCCAAGACTTAGCTTTTACAAACTGTGCCACTATAAACATGGATGTGCATATACTGCTGTGATAAGATGTTTTTAATTCTTTCAAGAAGATAGAAGGGAAATAGCTGGATCAAATGGAACCTCTAGTTTTAGTCTTTTGTGAACTCTGCACACTGATTTCCACAGTGGCTACACCAGTCTGCACTCTCACCAACAGTGGAGAAGGGTTCCTTTCTCCCCACAGCCTGGCCAGCATTTGTTATTGGCTGTTTGCTTGATAAGAGCCATTTTTTTTCTGGAGCAACACGTGGTTTTTAACATAACTTGGTTTTGTTTGGGGGGTGTTGATTGTTTGTTTGTTTGGGGGTTTTTTTGGTTTTTTGGTTTTTTGAGACAGGGTCTCACTATGTAGTCGAGACTGACCTGGAACTCACTGTGTAGTCTAGGCTGGTCTCAAACTCGCAGCAATCCTCCTGCCTCAGCCTCGCAAGTGCTGGGATTACAGGTGTGCACCACCACACCCGGCCATAACTTGGTTTTGGCTTTAAAGATATTTACCAATAAATATCACATAGCTTGTCGTAGCTTCTACTTATTTAGAAATCCACTGTCTCACCAGGGATTTAACTCAGTGGTTTCACGGCCTGCCTCGCAAGAAGTGCAAGGTCCTGAATTCAATCCCCAGTACAAAAAAAAAAGGAAATCCACTGTCCCATCACTTTATCACACTATTATTGCAAAATTAAAAGAGTACTGATTTTTTGTGGGTTGGTTTGTCTGGAAGTGCTAGGGATCTAACCCAGAGCCTTACACATGCTAGGGAGAGGCGAGCACTCTATACTCAGCTTCATCTCCAGCCTCTTCCCAACTTTATTTTTCCTTTTGAAAGGAAAAAATCTCATATAACACAGGTTGAGCACCCCTAATCTGAAAATCCAAAATCCAAAATGCTCCAAGACCTGCTAAAACTTTTAGTACTAAAATGATATTTAGCCAGGCATGGTGGCACATGCCTGTAATCCCAGCACTTGGGAGGCTGAGACAGGAGGATCGCTGTGAGTTCAAGACCAGCCTGCACAACATAGTGAGTTCCAGTGCTGTTGCAACTACATAGTGAGACCCTGTCTCAAAAAAAAAAAAACAAAAAAACAAAAAAACAAAAATGATATTCAACAGTTTTAACAGGTTTTAGAATTCTGGACCATTTCTGATTTCAAATTTCTACATGCTCAACTGGTAAAGTCTGGGGCCGGGGATTTAGCTCAGTGGTTCTGTCTGCCACCTGCCTCACAAGCACAAGGTCCTGAGTTTGATCCCTGGTACCGAAAAACAAAACAAACAAACAAAAAAATCAACTGCTAAAGTCTGTGGAAATATTCCAAAATCTGAAGTACTTTTGAATAGAAATGTTCAATGCGCAATAATCACTGCTCAGAAAGTAAGCTGATCTCTCTCTTCCTGTGCACTTTTTCCCTCCTCCTGGCACTTCCTCCAAAGACAGAGCCCGGCTCTATTCACACAGGACAGCAATCTGCCACAGTGGAAAGACCACTGGCCTAGGATACAGCATGACTGCCTTCTGTTCAAAGTTTTGCAACTGACTAGCTGTGCTGTCTTTTCTTTTTTTCTATTTTTGCCAAGACTTGGGGTTTAATCCAGGATGCTGTACTAAGCTCCACCTCCAACTCATTTTAGTTTTTATACTGAGTCAGGATTCCCCTAAGTTACCCAGCCTGGACTCAAACTCTTTAATTTTTTATCCCAAAAGGATTGTTTTGAGGCAGGGTCTCCTTATGGGGTTCAAGCCGGCTTTGAACTGTGTATCTAGGCTGGCCTGGAACTCCAAGTGACCTTCCTGGCACATCCTCCCAGAATGCTAAGAGTTACCACCTGCACCATCACTCGAGCTCTAGGTCAGTCTTTTCTACAACTTTTGTTTGTTTGTTTGTTTGTTTTTGTACCAGGAATTGAACTCAGGTCCTTATGTTTGCAAGGCAGGCAGCAGAGCTAAATCCCTAGTCCCTGAAACAGTATTTTTAAAGAGGTCGTCTTGAATGTTTAAAACAATCATTAAAATGTGTGAGGACGCATGAAAACGCGTGTGCCGTGAGCGCTGACTGGCAGGGGTGGCACTCACCTGCGAGGCAGCCAGCGTCTCCAGGTGGTGCAGCCTCTGCAGCACGCTCTGCATGTCCTCCTGCAAGCGCATGAGCACGAGCGCGATCTGCTCATTGAGGCTGCTTCGCGAGCCCCTGTCCGAGCCCCAGCGCTCACCATCGCCTCCACTTCCCACCTGTCCGCCCCTGGTCCCCTCACTCGGATGCGGCACCCGGTGCCCTGTGTGGAGAGAAGTCCGTGTTACTCATGTGCTTTACTCAGCTTTCTGGTATCTCTGTGAGATCTAATCTCCAATGCAGAGTAGAAGCTACCAGGAATACATAAAATAAACTTTTAGCCTATAATCTCACTCAGGAGGCTGAGGCAGAAGGGTCAAGTTTAAGGCCAGCCTGGACTACATAATGAGACCCTGTCTCAAAAGAATAAATAAGTTAGCAACAATAATATTAGTAAAGACAAAAAGGTAACAAGATTAAAAAAAAAAACAAAAACTGGGAGGCTGGGCATGGTGGTGAGTGCTTATAATCCCAGCATCTGGGAGGCTGAAGCAGGAGGACCACAAATTCAAGCCCACCATGGCAACTTAACAAGACCTGGACTCAAAACGTAAAAATTTTAAAAAGTCCTGGAGTCAATCCCTAATACTATGAAAAAAAACTTTTTTTTTTTCCAGTGCTGAAGATTAAACCCAGGGAGCCGGGAATTTAGCTCAGTAGTTCTGGCCGCCTGCCTCACAAGCATAAGGGCCCCAGTTCGATCCATGGTACCAAAAACAAAAAACAAAACAAAACAAAAAAAAAGATCAAACCCAGGGTTCCATGCATACTAAGCATGTTATACCACAGATAACAACCTTCTGTAACAGCCTTTTTTCCTCTTAATTCTCTTTTGATGGTATCAACTCCTTACCAGCAACAATGAAAATGAATATATTAATTTTCTCCCCTACTCTATTCTATTACCTGACCATAGCGAGCTTTTTTCTTTTCCCCTTCTGAGGACTGAAGCTAGGAAATCTGCATAAAGCCACACCCCCAACCCCTTCCTGTAATTTATTTTTTGTTTCGATACAGGTTCTTGCTAAGTTGCCCAGAAGAGCTTTGAGCTGCCTACCTGTAACAGGGATTATAGGCATGAACCATCATGCCTGGCAATTACTATCATTACATTTATCTTTACATTGTTAAATTCCCCTAAGTGAAAGATAATTCCAATTTTACCTATAAAGAGAAGAGTAAAAAAAAAAAAAGCACAGTTGGGATTGTCATTGAGTGCTCAGGGTAAAACAGAACAAAACTTTGATTACCTCCACAATTTACTGAAAGATTTAGAAATAGAAATCTTTTCCGATACCTTCAGAGGACACACTGATCCATGCATGGAGTCAAAGGAAAGAGAAACGGTTAGATGTTATGCAGTAACGCACACCTCCCAGAAGCCTTTACGCCACGCATGTCCCAGTGTCTCTTCTGCCCAGAACTTCCCGTTTCACCAGTTCACAGAGCGCAGCTCTCGGGGTGAAAGGACGATGCTTACCCCTCCCTCTTCTGATATTAGAGAGCTCCTCACTCTCCCCGCCGCGCCTCTCATGGCGTGGTGCTCCACTGTTACTTCTGCCGTCTTCGCCTCCACGCTGTACTTCACCTTTTCCTCCGACCACTACCACCTGCACAGTCCCTGTGCTGCCAGTTCCAGGTGGTCCTTGAACATCTTCAGGAAAACCAGAATTTTCCAAGCCACTGCCCACGTAATATTGAAATGAGCCAGTGTTTGACGTAAAATTGTCTAGAGACTACAAATTTAAAATGATATTTGGTCAAAAACTGTAAATATAAGTTATATTCCACAAGGTTTTTATGATAACAGAAATAATGTTCTTTCATATTACTGGATATATTCTTAAAAAACTCTTGAATTCACATTTAGTTTCCTATATGCAAGAAAGAAATGGGATGCAAGATACTTTGTCCATGCTCAAGGAACTGAGAAGTTTTGGCAGTGAATGTTCTCATAAATCAATCAATTATTAAAGAAATAAATAAATTCCTATAACGTATGATCAAAAAACAGTGAATAAAGATTTTAATTGTAGTAAAAGACACATTGCCATTTGTCCTACTCAAAATGCTCCCCATCACTTGAAACACACTTGAACTTTCGGTGTCTTTAGTTGCACCGTCATGGCTGCCTCGATTCCAGAATCAATTCAAAACATTGACCTTTCGTGATCATTTTGACTTTGGGAAAATGCCATAAGATGCATGGTGCCGATTCAGTGAATAAGGTAGAGGGAAACAAACTAATATTTTCATTTGACAGAAATTGCTGTAAACATTAGATCAACAAGGAATGATGATAAAATTTGGTGAATATTTTAAAATCGAGTATAATAGACAAATTGCCATTAATTCCCCTCAAAAAAATTCCTCCTTGCTTTGAACACATTTGGCCCATCATTCTTGGCGATATGATTCAACACTCACTGTTTTTTTAGTCACTATTTGTAATGCCTATCTTAGTTATTACAGTTACTTCTAGGGACACTATGAAGAAAGAGATAAGATCCCTGCTTGCACGAAGCTTACAGCCTTCCTAAGTGGAGCCAGTGAAGATTATTACAATATCGCTTAATAAGTGTTATTAAAGTTCTATTAAACTTTTATGAAAAAGATAAGCCAAAGGAGAGGTACCTAAACCATACTGGGGTTGGTTGTCCAGGACAACTTAGAAAAACCCTGTTTCAAAATAAAAAATAAAAGGAGGGAGGGCTGGGGATGTAGCTCAGTCTGAAGGTCTTGGATTCAATCTCCAGTACCATTTGGAAAATTAAAATAAGAGAGGAAAGAAAGCATGTAATCAATCCTCTATCACCTTGTGGATTCAGTAAGACGAGTGGTATAACACAGTGCTTTTGGACCAGAAACCCCATAGAAAGGACAGAAACAAAGGTAATGTAAATTCTAGCAGCGCAGTAAAAAATATCACTGTGCTCAACAGCACTACAAAAATTCTGGAAAAAAAAATTCAAATATTTACTTTTTTTTTTGGTACCAGTGATTGAACTTAGGACCTTGTACTTGTGAGGAAGGTGGCAGCACCAGTGAGCTAAATCCCCAGCCCTCAAATATTTACTTTTTTTTTTTAAACAATGACTGATTCAGATCATGTGTCCATGAGTAAAGAAGTTGAAAGTAATATGGAAAAGTAATAATAGAAAACGACTTTTAAGTCTATTAGCAGACAGGCTAAATATCTCGATGGCTAAGATAGTGAGAGAAGTCTGAGGACGAATAATGGCACTTTAGAACAAGGTTTCCTTCAGGAAGAGACAGACGCCTGAGGGAGGTATAAAGGACTGCAGGTATTAATGCACTGACTGGGAAGGCGGCATCTCCCAGGTCAAACGCACAGAAAGCTAACGGCACTAGAGAAGCGGAGGGGCTGCTTCATTTATGTGAAGAACAGCGGTGGTCAGGATGGGTAGTGAGCAAAACCTAACAGGAGAAAGGAGGTGACTAAGGCCAGGTAGGTAAATAAGATCCAATCAGCCAAGCCCCACGAAGGCTTTCAGTCAGTTACTGATTTAGAGAAAACAGGAGCAAAACTACAATTTAATATCCAGGTAATTACTCAGGTTAATACCTAACCAATCTCTTCACGATGCAGTCCAGACTGGACTTGAGCTTTGGATCCTTTTGCCTTACCCTCCCCCGAGTACTGGCATTAAATATGTGTGCCACCATACCTGGCCAAAAATAATTTTTAAAGAGAAAATAAAAAGGGATTTGAGTTTTTATTATTTTCCATTTTCACTTTAACCAAGTTCAGTTCATTCGCAGTTTGGCCTCCTTGTCATCATTTTTCCCATGTATGCTATTCATTTATGTTTGAGCTTAGTTAAGAAATACTTTGCATGTTTTGAAAATTTAAGAAGTACATTCAATTACAAAAAGGGGAAAACATAAAAAGTTAAAATGATTACTACGCAGGAAAAACTACAAGATTTTCTGTAAAACACACTGAAACTGCATTAGAACAGGAAGACGGAAAGAGTGGGTAAAGGATGTAAAGCTGTCGAACGAACACAGCTGTCAGAACCACCTTTTCAGGAAACATTAAGTTTAAAGAAAAACCCTCATGGATATAAATTTTTTCAAATTTCTCTTCCAATATTAAATCTTAATTGAAATACAATTATTTCCACAACAATTTTAGTCTAATGGATTACAGTCAATGTGAAGAACAGATTGCTTTATTTATTTATTTTGGGGGGTACCTAGGATCGAACTCAGGACCTTGCACTTGCAAGGCACACACAGTGCCACTGAGCTGCATCCCTAGCCCCACAGAGTGCTTTAAAGTTGTTCAATTTTCTTCATTAATCAGTATGTCAAATACATTGCATCCTCATCGCATCTTCTCAGGATTCTTATAATTTAACTTTAAAATTAATTATAATAGAATACTCTTATTCTTTGAATATTCTAGAATTTTTTGTATTTTAATTCACTAAAATAAAAATATGAATGTTAAAAATATTTTAGAGGTATGTTTTCAAAGTGATGAACAGCACGTACATCTGCTATTAACAGAAGTTATGCACTGAATTTTGTTATACCACTTTGAAAACTTACCAATCAGAAAATGTCATTTTTACCTCTTCTTGTCCAAATTGCTCCATAGAATCACAGTATACTTCACTGTCTGAGTCACTTGTCAAATGCTGAATCCCTGAAACATCTTCAACATGGTCATCATTTATATCTAAATGTGAACAAATATCCAGTTCATGTAAGTACATTCTATTAGAAAATACATTTACTTATTCCATTTTCAAAATGTTCAATTCTCTATTATGTTCATACTGAAATGTAAATTTGATTTACCAAGTTATACTCTCTTTAACTTACCAAAACTTTCAATTTAGTTGACAGTTTTTATTTGAAAGGATAAAAATGTATTTTGTCAGGGGCCGGGGATTTAGCTCAGTGGCACCGCACCTGCTTCACAAGCGCAAGATTATGAGTTCAATCCCCAGTACCAAAAAAAAAAAAAAAAAAAAACTATAAAAAATGCATTTTTTTCATTGAATTCTATGCAGACACTGCCCTGAGAAAATCTTAGAAAACTTAATGACATTATATAAGAAAACAAACTACTAGTTAGGACTGGCCCTCAATTTGGGATGTAACAATTTTAAGTTTGATTATACTAAGACATGAGGTTTCTGGGCTGGCTTCAACAATATTAATAGTTCATAGTTCAGCACATACATAAGGCTCATTCCTAGAGCCCTGAGACATGAAAAGGCTGTAACTTTCTTAGATGATTAGAAAACAAAGGCACCATTTAATCAGAGGTCAAAAGAAATAATCAAGAGTAAAAGTAAAAAATTCAAAAGATTTTATTTTAAAATGTGACATGATAACACCCTAAAATGTCTCAATGAAAAATATAAATGTTCTGCGCCAGGGTCTAGTTCAGTGGCATCACACCTGCCTTGCAAGACCAAGGTCCTAAGTTCGATCCCTGGTACTGGAAAAAATAAAAAAATAAATAAGCAAATAAGTAAATGTTCTGGCCCTAATTCACTGTCTTTCAAAAATATAAACCAGAAAGGTACAAGATCCCAATAATGAATGTAACTGTACTGTATACCTAAAATGTACCAATATTCAATGTGACACTGCCCTGAGAAAATCTTAGAAAACTTAATGACATTATATAAGAAAACAAACTACTAGTTAGGACTGGCCCTCAATTTGGGATGTAACAATTTTAAGTTTGATTATACTAAGACATGAGGTTTCTGGGCTGGCTTCAACAATATTAATAGTTCATAGTTCAGCACATACATAAGGCTCATTCCTAGAGCCCTGAGACATGAAAAGGCTGTAACTTTCTTAGATGATTAGAAAACAAAGGCACCATTTAATCAGAGGTCAAAAGAAATAATCAAGAGTAAAAGTAAAAAATTCAAAAGATTTTATTTTAAAATGTGACATGATAACACCCTAAAATGTCTCAATGAAAAATATAAATGTTCTGCGCCAGGGTCTAGTTCAGTGGCATCACACCTGCCTTGCAAGACCAAGGTCCTAAGTTCGATCCCTGGTACTGGAAAAAATAAAAAAATAAATAAGCAAATAAGTAAATGTTCTGGCCCTAATTCACTGTCTTTCAAAAATATAAACCAGAAAGGTACAAGATCCCAATAATGAATGTAACTGTACTGTATACCTAAAATGTACCAATAAATTCAATGAGAAATAAATTTTTTTTTCCTTTGGTACCAGGGATCAAACTCGGGACCTTGCACTTGAGAAGTAGGCGGAACCCTAAAATATTACTTTAAAGTATTTTAAAATTCTAAAGTATTCCTAAATATCCTAAAATCATTAAAGAATACTATTCACAGGAAAAAGGCTAGACAAAGAAATACTGGAGGACAATACCTGGGTGAATGCAGACAGCAGTTTTTCCAGTTTGTTCCAAGTTTTGCTCTACAGGTTTCACTTCTTCAGGACTTCCTCCATTCAGGAGAGAAGTGGCCTGAATGTCATCCTGTGTATCCTGAAGAAAGCTACCTTCATCGTAACCATTAGTGACAATGATTTCCAAGTCCTTGTGCTCTCCTGATTTTTTCGTCTTATCTGTTAAGGGAAAGTCATAAACATTCGTAGCCATCTTCTGCATACGATGTGCTAATATCCACCAGTCATTACCCCAACCTGCAACAGTCTCTGTGAAGGTTTTCTACTGGGTCAGAGAGACGGGGAGATCCTTGAAGAGACATTTATAATACTCTGAGAGCTCACCAAAAACCTGCGTTGGCTTCAAAACTGCTTTCATTTCCTGTGAATCTTCTAAAATCCCTTTTAAAAAATAATCTCTCGGGCCAGGGACTTAGCTCAGTGGTTCTGCTGCCTGCTTCGCAAGTGCAAGGTCCCACATTCAAAGCCCAGTACCAAAAATAATAATAATAAATCTCTCAAGATCATTACACTCTCTCAGGCACAGGCACACTGTTACAGAGATGAGATCTAGCATTGCAAAGGGGCCCACAAAGTTGATAAAAAGATCCTTAAAGACTGGAAAGTGAAGGCAAATAGGTTGTGTGGTTGTCTTTAGTGTCTCCCGCTTTTCTAAAACCATTTTCCCCCAAATCACCGGTAGTACTAAGCAAGGCTCCAGGAATGTAGAACCCAACGATTCCATTGTCCCTTCTTCATCAAAACCCACGTCGGGGACAACATTAAGTACTGCACAGCTCGGTGGCAGAGCGCTTGCGTAGCATGTGTGAGGCCTTGGGTTTGATCCCAGCACCACAAGACAAAGCAACAAGACAAAATGTATTCTTATTCTTTGGATTCCATTTCATTTTTCATAATTGCGAGTTTAAAGTGCTTCCAGTCCTTGGTTTTATGTGCTTTGTAGGTAACCCTTAAAACACTACATGTCCAATGCATCATTTCACGCAGTCTGTCTGGAGGAGTGGCCTACTCTCATCAGCCTTCAGTTAACACTATGTCACCTGAGCAGAGGACTGGCTGTCCCTGTTCTCTGCAGTAGAGCATTCGGTCCACAGCAAACCTGTGTACAGAGACAACAGCCCATATCTCACCACACACGCTGACATGGTACCAAGCAACCCAGATGCCTTTGTATCTTCTGAGTTAGTGTAAAATTATTAACCCATTATCCAAAACTTACCATTACCACTTTGTTCTGCTGCCTTTGCTTCCTCCTGAACCTCTTCTTCCTCTGACTCAGCTCCACTATCACTGCTTTCAGCTTTCCCATTAACAGTTTTGGCATTTGGAGTAGAAGTAAGAACATTACCAAGATCTAGAACATGAAATGTCCACTTAGTCTCTAATGTGCATAGAAAATAATGCTGAAATTTACAAACAACTGGTAAAATCATTTTGAATTAAAATATTAGAATTGTCTATATAATTAATACTATTCAGTCTCTGTGCATATATAGACAAAACTTCAGTTATCAATTTATAACAAAAGTGATAAAGCTATCAAGAAAGGAATAGGTTACTTCCTTCTTTCTTTTTTTTTTGGTACCGGGGATCAAACTCAGGACCTTACGCTTGCGAGTCAGGTGCAGTGCCACTGAGCTAAATCCCCGGCCCTGGAGACGTTACCTTTTTTTTTTTGTTGGTACTGGGGATCGAACTCAGGTCCTTATGCTTGCAAAGCAGGCAGCAGAACCACTAAGCTAAATCCCCGGCCTGAGAAGCTACTTTTAAATTAACATTAATCAAAATAATAAAGTCATAAACCAGGCACAGTGATACATGCATGTAATCCCACAACTAAGGAGGCTGAAGTAGGAGGATCACAAGTTTGAGGCCAGTCTGCACTACACAGTGAGACTGGCTCAAAATGAAATTTTAAAATATAGGAAAAGTGGCCAGGGATTTAGCTCAGTGATTCCACCACCTGCCTAGCAAGCACAAGGTCCTGAGTTCAATCCCTGGTACAAAAAAACAAACAAACAAAAAATATAGTAAAAGTATAGATAAATGATCTTCAGACATAATAAATGAGATGCTTGCTAGCTTGCGGAAAACATAAGATTTAATCTTACCTCAACAATCTCATCAATATTATACTTAGACTCCATTTTTTAAAAATTTAATCCTTTATTATCATGAGGGTTTCAGATGCAGTTTAACATTTTCATGTCTTTGTGATATTTAAATTTTAAGTAACAATTAATTATGATCTATACAAAGGAAGCAGTTGCAAAGGTAGTTATACTCCAGGGTAAACACGTCAGAGTTTCTCAAACTACAGTGTCTCCAGCAGTCCCCCAAGAGCCCATCTCAGGTCTTGGATAATCTATGTTCCCTTCAGGCTCCTTCGAAGACACCAGAGAGCTCCTAAAACTTCCAAAAGGAGTGACCTTCCTCATCCCTTATTGGGCCGTATTTTCACTTCTACAAAAACATGTTGGATGCTGCTCTGCACCCAAAACGTGTTAAGGTGTAAACAATACATAGATATTAAGCAGTGAGGCCTATATTCTTATTTAAGTCTGCTTATTTAATGGGACAATAGAATCAAACTTCAGTCCTTTTCTATGAGAGAATCACGGCAGTACTATAGCTTCTTTTTGTGGTGCCGGGATCAAAGCCATGACCTTGTCTGGGCTAGGCTCACCCTCTGCCAGGGCCCACAGCCCTCAAGTACTGTATTGTGCACTGGCTTCATGTGCACATGTGTGGAGCTGGGCCTTGGGCATGCTATGTACAAGAGCATCGTTTTTGGGTTTTGTTTTTTTCGTTTATTAGTACATGTGTTACCTTTCTTGTGGGAATGACAACCAGAAATGGCATGAGTCACAGCAATTAAAACAAAAACTAGGGCCTTGGGATTTTGCTCAGTGGTTCTGCCTGCCTCACAAGCACAAGGTCCCAAGTTCAATGCCCAGTACCAAAAGAAAAAGTTAAAAAACTAGGCCAGGCATGGTGGCACACACCTGTAATCCCAACACTAGGGAGGCTGAGGCAGAAGGATAGCCATGAGCTGGAGCTACACAGTGGGTTCAAGACTAGCTTAAGCTACAAAGGGAGTCCCTGCCTATAAAAACCAATGTATCCCCCATGAATATCTTCAACAAAATGTCCCAGGAACTCCCTCACAACCTCAGCAAATGAAGGATTCTAACAAAATTACTTGATAGCAGAAAAAGCACGACTGCAATGCTGTCACAGAAGTAAAGGAATTTCCGATAAGCCCTACTCAACATCTCAAACCAATTGATGTAACATCCAATATTAAGAAACTTAAGGACAAAAGTCATACGATTATCACAATAGACAAAGAAAAATCCAAACTTTTTTGTGATAAAAAAAAAAAAACTGGAGAAACTAAGAATACAAGAGAATTTCCCACTGTCTGACAAAGGGCTGCTGGAAAAGTAACAATAGCATCTTTTTTGTCAGAAGACTCCTATGAAGGTGAGCACGGAGCTGCAAGCTGTTCGAGAGAGACTACAATTGAGCAGGCATCAGATCCAGCCCAGGGACTTGAGGTCAGACTGGGCAACACAGGAAGATCCTGTCCTTAACCAAAGAAAAACTCTGCTAAAATGAGGCGAAAGCCAAAGTCCTCTATGCTTGCCATCTGTTAAGGTTAAGATCTAAAATGTTCCGCAAAAGTCTCCTGTGTTTGGAAGGTGACTGGGTCATCAGTGGGTTACCTCTGATGGTATCAAAGACTAATGTTAGGCTGTTAGGAGGTGGGTCCTCCTGCTCAGAAGAGGTGCTGCCAGGAGCTGACCCGGAAGGGTGTGTCTGCCCCAGGCTCCCACTTCCCGCTCTGCTTCCTGGCTGCATGGATCCAGCAGTTTTCCTCCAAGTCCATCCACTTTGCCAAATCACGGAGCCCATCAATCATGAAACCATGAGACAAAAATCACCCTCTTCTCTTTCAGGTTCTGAGTGGTACATATTGTGTCCCAGAGATGAGAAAGTGACAAATACACCACCCTCAATACTATGCTCCAAGTTCCAGCCAGGGGAGCTGGGCAACAACGAAATAAGAGGCACTCAGACTAGAAAGGATGAAGTAAAATGATCTATTTACAGATGGCACATATAGAAAATCCTAGAGAATATACAGAAAAACTGCTGCACAGCTCAACGAGAATGCAGGACAAAAGATCAACTGCACTTTTACAAACTAACAGTGAAATGAAAACGAAATCAGACAATTCAATTTACAGTGCCATCAAAAGGATAAAATATTTAAGAATACATTTAAAAGATATAAAACATACTGCAAATGACAACACTGTACAAAGAAAGTGAAGATCTAAAAAATAGACATCACATGTTCATGATTATTAAAATGGCAACACTTCCAAAATGATCTATGTTCTTTGCAATTCCTATCAAAAACCCCACGTAACCTTTATGCAAAATGGATAAACATTTTTAAAATCATAAGAAAATGACTCCAGTACCAAGAATGACCAGAGCACTGTGCAAAAGAACAATATTAGAGCACTCATACTTCCAATTTCAACTTACTGTATTAGTATTGTGAAAGACTATGTGAAATTGATTACATCTGTTCTAACAGGCCTGAACAGCTACTTTTAATAAGATTATTTTGTTTTGTTTTGTTTCATTTTAAAAGTCAAGAATACAAACTGGTTTGCAATTAGGCAATTTTTGTAAGATTATAAATATTTGTAATTCTAAAAAAAGAATAGAAGGAAAAAATTAACAAAGCTTTTGTAAATAAGGAGGGAAGGGGAGGGTCAAAGGGAGGGGAGAAGAATGGGGGAAAAGCAGCAAGATACATCACATACAGCTACAAATTCTCATGATGAACGTTAATGTATATCTAAAATATACCTAGGGCCGGGGATTTAGCTCAGTCGTGCCACCACCTGCCTCGCAAGTGCAAAGGACCAAGTTTAATCCCTGGTACCAAAAAAATGAAATAAAATGAATGTTTTTAAAATACCAATAAATGTTTTTAAAATACCAATAAATGTTTTGCTTCAAAAAAGTAAATAAGTGGGCTAGGAATTTAGCTCAATGCACCACACCTGCCTCACAAGACCAAGGCCCTGAGTTCGATCTCTAGTACCAAAAAAAAAAATAAATCAATAAATACATAAGTATTGTAATTCTACTTCTAATTTTTTTTTTTTTCAAAACAGTTTTATTATGCAGTTCAGGCTGGTCTTGAACTCACCATGTGGCCCAGGTGGCCTTGAACTGGCAACAATCCTCCTGCCTCAGCCTCCAGAGCACTGGGATTAAAGGCATACAACCAACACACCCGGCCCCTTCCTTATTTTATGTTAACTTGTTCAAATATCTGTCTCTGGCCAGCATAGCAGACACTACTAAAGCAGATCTAGATTTATTCCCCTCTGCGTTTTAATAAAATGCCTAACACAGAGAAAATATTTCACTTGCATTTTAGAGGACTATCTGTTAATATTTGGCTCCTCTGGACCGGGGATTTGGCTCAGTGGCTCTGCCACCTGCCTTGCAAGCGCAAGAACCCGAGTTCGATCCCCAGTACCAAAAAAAAAAAGGTATCTTTTAAACAAGGATGCAAGCTAATTTTTAATTAATTATTCAATTTTCATTTAAATTTATTCTGTAGTCTTAACATAATTCTCTAAAAGTAAAAAAAAAAATTTTTTTTGAGACAGGGTCTTACTTTTATAGCCCAGACTGGCCATGAACTCACAACAACCCTCCTGCCCCAGACTCATGGATGCTGGGATTACTTTTAAAAAATTTAAAGAGCAAATATTTATGATTATTACCATAAAAACTTGCATCTTATTTAGCTCCTGCTAGTAAGCAAAACAAAACGCTTACTCTGTCAGATGAAAAAATGCAATAAAAAGGTTAAATTCACTGAACCCTTATTTTAGCTTGCTGTGTTAAGAGTTAACCTTACTGGAACTATCCATTTTATAATTTGATGAAAAATAATTTAATCCATTGCACTGTTAATAGAAAATAATTCCTCAAAACAAAATTCCAAGCTGGTGGTAGTGCATGGCCACGATCCCAGCACTCCACACACTGAGGAAAGAGAACAGTGAGTCCAAAACGAGCCTGGGTTACATAGTAAGGCCTTGCCTCAAAATATTTTGTTTTAAATGTGTCATAACTTTTGTATATGCTAAGTCAAGCACCTGGCATGTTTTAGTAACCTAATATTTAAGGGTTGAAAACTTAAGGGTTTATTGTATTTTGGAACTTTAATATATTTGCTTGGAATAAAAACTTCTTAGATGATGCGTTGTTACACAAACTTGTGCAGAATTCTTTTGGGATAGACATACACACAAAACTTTTACATAGACTTCATTATTCCTACCTTCTAAATATTTAGAGATTTTCTCCAGTCGGACTGGCATGTGAAAGTAAAAATAAAAATGAGATTTATAAATATTAATGCATGCATAATAAATCACTGGCTAAATTTAAAAGTAGGCGAAAGAGTCTAACCTGAGGTTAAATCAGAACTCCTGCCACTCTTTTTATCTTCTATAATTTCATAAAACGGACCTATGACATGTAGCAATTCTTCAACTTTTTCAGTCATCGGCATAGTTTCAATAATCTGTAATTGAAAAAGATGAATATTGTGAAATCAAACTATTAGTTTGATCTGTAATAGTATCAAATAATGTATTTCCAATTTATCAGTAATTGATATTTGAGGTTCATCAAGACTTCTTAAAGTAGCTACATTACAGATTTACTGTGTGTTCCTAGAAAAGTTTCAAGTATATTCAACACCTACAAGTAGTCTCATTTTGAACTTATTTTAATAAAAAGTAAACTTTCTATAAAAAAGTAAAACTTTATATAATAATATGTAAATTGTTCATTAAAAATTAGAGGCTTTAATGAAATAGAAAAGCACAGTGTTACAATAAAATTATGATGTCTGTTCTTTTTTATGGTGTCTATTCTTTTTTTTCAATTTTATTGGCACATTTTTGGGTATTTTAATGGTGTCTATTCTTTAAGATGTTTTAAAGTAGGAAATGGTAGTAACTTGCAAGAACCTCCAAAATTATGTGTCAAGGTTGAATCATCAAATTTTAAAAGCAAGGTAAATTAATGCAAAAGGCATTCAACTAAATAGCTATTGACTGGTGACTGATTAGAAAAATTAAAGTACTTCCTATAAGGAATATTTTTTTTTTTTGGTACCGGGGATCAAACTCAGGTCCTTGAGCTTGAGAGGCAGGTGCCAGAACTTCTGAGCTAAATCCCCAGCCCTATAAGGAATATTTTGCAGATATTAAAATTTGTTTGTTGCTGATTAGAAAAATACCCATAATTTTTATGAGAGGAAAAGCTAGCTACTGTACATATGTACATTTTTTTTTTTTTTTGTACCAGGGATCAAACTTGGGACCTTACACTTGCTACGAGGCTGGTGGTGGCACCACTGAGGCAAATCCCCAGCCCAAATTCACAGTATATTAATATGATGCCAGTATACTGTTCCCTTCTCTTCTTTTTGGTACCAGGGATCAAACTAGGGGCCTTGCGCTTGTGAGGCAGGCAGAACTACTGAGCCAAATCCCCGGCTCCTCTTTTAATAAAAGGATGTATACATCCTTTCTGAATCATTCTACCAAGTAAAATTTAAAATGATTACCACTCAAAGAGTGAAAACAGATGAACTAGGAAGACTAAAGTTTCATTTTATTATCTCTTTTAATGTTCAGAATTTTTTCATGTATATTATTTTTATTATCAAAATGAACATGCGCACTGCTTTTAAGCAAGCAAAATCCTTTACCCTCCTTGTATATATTTCCAGCTTATATAGATTTTAAGTGGCTACTTTGAATCTTTAAAACTGTGGCAGCCCTGGTTTTCCTGCTCATTCTCCCTGCTTTTTTTTTTTTTTTT